ATACAAACCAGTTTGACAAAGTTATGAATGCGTCTCTAGTATATGTTATTTGGTACTCAAAGGTTGCAAATGAATACAAACCAGTTTGACAAAGTTATGAATGCGTCTCTAGTATATGTTATTTGGTACTCACAGACTTGCAAATGAATGCAAACCAGTTTGACAAAGTAATGGGTGTATCTCTAGTATATGGTGTTTGGCACTCAAAGATTTGCGAATGAATACAAACTGGTTTGACAGAGTAATGGGTGTGTCTCTAGTATATGTTGTTAGGTGCTCAAAGGTTGCAAATGAATACAAACCAGTTTGACAAAGTTATGAATGCGTCTCTAGTATATGTTATTTGGTACTCACAGGTTGCAAATGAATACAAACCAGTTTGACAAAGTAATGAATGTGTGTCTAGTATATGTTATTTGGTACTCACAGACTTGCAAATGAATGCAAACCAGTTTGACAAAGTAATGGGTGTATCTCTAGTATATGGTGTTTGGCACTCAAAGATTTGCGAATGAATACAAACTGGTTTGACAGAGTAATGGGTGTGTGTCTAGTATATGTTGTTTGGTGTTCACAAGTTGCAAATGAGTACAAACCAGTTTGATAGCACAGTAAATACTGTAAACACCAGTTTTTTATTCTATTTTCTAATTATTGTTATGTTTCTTAACAAAAATGTACAAATTATAAAGTTTTCAACTTAGCCTAACAAATCTATAGTAAAATAAAACATATAAAATTTCCCAAGCAATGCACATGTTTTGTGCATACACTCATGTTCTGTTTAAGTTAAACCTACCAGAAAAGCTAATGGCACCCGCTATGATTTATTGCTTTGTTGATGCATAAAAGAAACTCGTATTCCAAAACATACTTACCTCCGCTGACATTATAGCTATTTCTTAATCTCCAGGGTTTCCACTCTTTGCCCATCTAAGCATTGAAAATGCTTGCTCCAGTCTTTATATACCCCGCTTGAATGCCTTTGGCAAATTCTAATTTGCAAATTTCTCCACCAAATTCAGTGCGCCCTCTATCTTGTTACTGTATATAAGCATCTCATTCAGATAACATAATCACTTGAGTGAACTGACTTCGAATTCTTTTTTTTCGATGAGTGAGAGGAGTTCAACCAGAGAATAGGTTGGAAATATGCCACGAAACAGCGCACATGTTAGTAATTATACTGAGAGAAGGATGAAGGATGTGGACGACCCTCGCCGATGTGTGAATGGGTCGGTTACTTCTTGTACTGATGGTGTGTTGCAAGACATGGATTTCGATAGGGATTGTGCTAGTAAACGAGTATGATCTGACTCCGGTTAAAGTGTCGATTCAATCAGACACAAAAAATCAACTATGGACAGGAAACGTATAGTTTTCATTATTTCGCCGAACGTTAATATAGCCAAAGTAAATCCCATGCTCTTGAGTAGAGCCCTTAACGATATCATTGGGCCAACTGAGAAAATTCAATTGC